AGCACCGGCAACTAATAAATTAAAGAGACACGACAGCCACTGAAGACACTATACAGTGTAGAATAATACCTTGTACAATTCAGAGATACTTACCTGATATGCCAGAGAGAACTGAGAGAACACCGACAGATATTCACAACAATGCACAAAGCAACTAATTAATTAAAGAGACACGACAGCCACTGAAGACACTATACGGTGTAGATAGAATAATACCTTGTACAATTCAGAGATACTTACCTCACAGTCACTGATGTGCCAGAGAGAACTGAGCACACAGATATTCACAATGCACAAAAAGTAATGCAAGAGCAAAGCAATAGAGCAAAACAAAAACAATGGAATACACACTGAGCATGCAATGCATTGAGCATGCGCAGTTCACTAAAGGAAAATGGCGTCCAAAAACTAGGTCACTAGAAGTATGCTGCAAAACAACGACGAGAATGGACTTTGTAGAATTACAGTGCTAAGCCACACTGCAATGGCGTCCCTAAAATACAACACAATGGTGCAACAACTGTATTTCTAGGATCAATACTGTAGGAGGAGTTCTTACTAAACTGTGGAAGAAGGAGAAACCTGAACATTTGGTGCATGCAGGCATGCATGCATTTAAATGCCGTAAAACTATCTTATGCAAGGTTTTTACTACTTTTTATAACACTGACATTCTTATCTAAAATTATAAAGGACGTCTGGAGTGTGAGATTAATGACAAAAAATTCCTGAAGATTTTTCAAGGTTCAATGCTTCTGGGGTGGCAGCCATTTTGGGGGCGCGATCGTCCAACTCAACCCTACATACCAAGCGCTAGCGCTTGGTAATTAGTAGTAAAAGCCACACAACGACAACCCACAATTATGTGACAGACTGAGTAATTTGATAAGAAATAAAATTATTTTTTAAGATATAACCTTTTACTATTAGTGATTGTAGTAATGTATCCAACAGTTTGTGTGTGTTAATTTTTACCTTAATATCACGTCCTCTTAATAGTGACAGGTTATTAATATCCGATAATGATTCATCAGGTAGGATCTCCTTCAGTCTTGTACTTGTTCCATTATCATGAACTAAGCAATCATCTTCCTTGTCAATAGCAGACAGTATATCTTTTACACTATACACTCTCCTTTCTCTTGGTGTATTTACAGGATAGGCTAGTTCTTTAGGATCAATAACTAACTCTTTTACCTCTAGACTGGGACAGGATTCTTTATAAACACTCATTATCTCTCCTATCACATCTCTTCCTACTGACATCATGAGGTGTTCTTTAAAGGATATCATTACTAGTACACACTGGCTCTCATCCACAATCTCTACCAGTGATCCTACACCATGACTATTAGACCAATAAAGTCCATTCTTCCAAAATGTACAACGTCGCATTAACTGGTTGTCTTTTTGAGGTAGAGCCATTTTATAAGCAAGACGTAATGAGAGAACATGGAAGTATCGAGGAGGAAAGAAATAATGTTTACTAGTACACTGTAGACACCAACCAAACTGGTACACTTGACTGGTCATCTCATCAGGTCTATCAGCAGACAAAAGACATGGAAAGAACAACAACCTTTGCCCTCTTGTTTCTATCATTCCTTTCACTTTTTCTTCCACTGCTAACTGCTGGAGGTTTGTCATTCTTAAGAAAGATGGATTCATTTCTTGACAGAGGTCCATGTTCTTGAGGAAACAGATCAACATGTCAGGATCATATTTAGGGAAGAGTCTAGTCAGACCAGACACACTAACAATACCAGTATTGCTAGCAACATCAACGTGTTCTTTGAATGTCTCTGGAGCAAAGAGAATCCCATTCACCTCAGTTAGTA